CAGGATCTTTTCTTAGCTTCCATATTGCTCCATTTGGTACACTCTCTGTGTATCCAGATTTAGCACTGATATGTTCCTTCCTGAGACTGCCTGGATGGAATATGTGCTGTCAGGCACAACCATGGTAGAAATCTCCAAGATCTCTGGATGCACAGCAGCTTCAGTGCTGCTGCTGAGCAGTAATTCTACCCAGGTGTCACAGATGGTTGTAATAAATGCTTGAATCTGGCCCTGAGAAAATTTTCAAGTGAAGAAAGAATGGCAAATCCAGGAAAGTTTGGATATAGGCAGCTCTACCTGGAGGGAAATCTTGGGGTGTTCTGCAGTGTTCCTGATCATCTTGTAGTGACTGTGGCTTTCCCTATACTCCAGCAGTCTTTCTGAAAGAAGTCTGCAGTTTTGAGAGGGAAACTTCCAATGGTGGGAACTATTATCTCAGAACCAAAAGAAATATCTGTGTTCTGAACTTACCATAGAAATTGCGTCTCACTTTCTAAGGATAGTCACAGTTCTACCTGCAGCATAATGGTAGATTTTCTTCTGGTTGCAAAAGCCCTGGAAGAATAAGTTGTGTTCCTGGGGACTATTGCTGGGGGTCAGAGAGGGAATGTGCACCTGGATAGGGAAAGAAAATTTTAAAGTATCCTTGGCATTAAAGGTGTTCTGACATGAAACTAAACTGCTTGTCCTTCTCCCCAGCAGCAGAAACACCAGAATTTCACCCCCAAACTGTGCAAATAAGTTTATTTTGAAGGCATTAGTAATACGTGTGACTTGGTTGACCATTAGCACAGGGGAAACCTACCCAAGAGGCAGCTGTAAATCAGTCTCGTTTTGCATAGAAACTGCTGCGACTAAACAACTCCTCCACCAAAGGGGTGGTGGAATGAAATGGAAACATGAAGTGGCAGCTGGCTTAGAGTGGGGTATGGAAATTAAGAAACTGAAGAGTTCTGTGCAGATTCCCCAGTTAGGTGACTCAGTGTCCATGGTGCTTTTTCCTCGCTTTTTTAGCTTTGTTCCTGAACATCTCCAGCGTTCTTTCCAGCGTGTGTCACGTACCACACGCTTTATTCACATTCCAGGTACCCACACTTGTTTTCACAGAGTCAAAACTGAAGGGTTTTTTTCCTTCTCTCTTTCTCCTCCCTTCCCCAAACCTTAGTCTATTTATAAATTGCACAACTTGGCACGGGAGCACTGTGACCAACGTGCAAGCAGAGGGTTTAATAATCAGTTATTCTTTTTGATGTTGGTTTTGCAACCAGACAGACCAAAGTGCACTGCAGATGTCTGGTTTAAGTGTTATGCGGGTGAAGCAGAGGGAACCAAGTCAGCACTTCTGCTATGGCCTTCTCAACATTTTAATTCTGGGAGGGAATACACTTTCTACAGGTGGTTGTTGTTGCTGTTGGGAGCTTTTTAATGCTGTGTCTGATAATCTGCTGGAAAAGCAGCTCTTGTCCAGCTTGTTCAGGGGTTATGGGTAATCTGACCAAATCTTTCTTTAAAGGCATGATTCTTGTTTGTGAGAACTCAGTACTTTGTAGGTGGCCATTTAAGCAGCCTTTATAAAGTCTTCTAAAATAAAAGGCACAAAATTTCACCTTAAGATTTATCAACACACGGAAAAAAAGCCTTGGGTACTTCTCCTGATGGAAGCAGTACACATTCTTCATCAAAGCCATTTGCCCTTTAGTTTGGGAATAACCCCTGCCTCCATGGAATACATGTATAAATAGGGGCATTTCCCTAATGCGGAAATAAAGCTCACACAATGCCAGGGGCACACATTTTTTTGTGACATTCTGCAGTATCCATGTGCACACTTTGGAAAGGATTAGTCTTTAGCTTTTCCTGGATGTATGTGAGGTAGATGTGAATTAGCTACTGAGGTAGGGCAAGACTCTCGTCTCAAGTCTTCTCTTTTGCCATGCCAGCATAAATCTTGGATAATTCCTGTAGGATAACAAAGTCAGACTCATTTTATCCCAGTGTAGATGAGAAAACATGCCAAGTTCTTGGTGTAAATATATAAAACTTGTAAAAAAAACCTTCATCTTGACTTACATCTTCCTCTGCCCTTGAAGCACACATTTTTTCCCTCCTCTGTTCATTCACTACTGAATCCAGCAGCTGCAGTAGATGTTGGTACAGAGGATCACAGGTGTTTGCAGAGCCTTGACGCCTATTCAGAGGAACCAGAGAAGAGTTCTTGGGATGTGTCAAAGAAAGGAGATGTCTATGTCCTGTGTTCTTCTGACTTGATAAACTCATATCTAAATTGTTCATTATGTTTCCAAGCTCTGTCATTGCTTCTTCTTAGATTATTTCACTTTCTGGCACATTGGTGGACTGAGCTTGGGCACAGAATCCAAATTATTTTTCTTTTGCAAAACAGTTAAGCCACAAAACACAGTGCAGTTTTCTTCTTGGCAACTGCTTTTTTTCCATACTGCCAGGACATTGTTGATCTCTTCTCGCTTTCTTTTGGCATGGATACAAATAGCAACCCTTCGCTTTATAGGTTACAGATCACCTTTATCACTGGAAGACTTAAAAATTTGAGGGGAAGCCTCTTGAGCCATAAACTTCAACTTCCCTGACCAGCTACTCTTTAGTGCTGCTGGCATTTGAACTCTGTCTGCTTATTTGTAGCCCTTTGTCAAAAGAACAGAGTTTTGAACAGCTGAGATTGTGGACAATTTTTTGTGCCTGCTCTGACCTATTTGAAACACTTTACTAGCTGTGCCCATTGCCCATCTCTACAAACTAGGAAGCAGAAAGAAGACATAATCAGAATAATCTTCCTCTGGTCCTCCTTTTCCTAGTCTAGTATCAAATTTATGGTTGTCACTCCCCAGTCAGAAGGAAACTTGACAGCAAAGGGAGTTTCCCTCTATCCTGTGCTCTTCCAACATCATTGCTGCTGTTTGTTGACTCACATAGGAGGCTTGAAGATAAGCTATAGGCCTTCTGGTTAGTTCTGTATTTCAATCAAGTATTTCTTCTCTCACTTCATATTTAAAAAAGTGTATTAAAACATGTATTAAACTATATTAACAACCTAGTATATTAACAAACAGGTATATTAAAAATATGTATTTATTTACAAATGTAAAAATAAAGGAAAACCGCTTCTTATAATTGCCTCCAAAATTGGAGGCATGTGCCAGGTCAGAGGGCAGTCCCACAGTATAAAGCTTGTATTTGCAACACAAGTATTTATAATTATAATTTCATAAAATATGCTGTATCATATAATGCCATATTTCCTTGTATTCCCTGCAAATCCATTGTCCCAAGGTGCTTCAAATCTTAAGTTATTACCATTCAAGCCACACTGTGATTTCACTTGTGCTGTTTGATACTTCACACAGTTTGTGGCATAGAGTACCTTGCAGCATCAGGTGTAGGGGCTGTACTCTTTTCCTAGAAGGTTCCTGAAGTTTCTCAGCTTCTGTATGGCATCCTCTCCTATTGAAGATAAGGTTGTCTGTATATCACCTCAAAATGCTTTTGTTTTGCTTTGCCCTTTAGGGTTGCATGTATCCTTTCTAAAGCACAAGCAAGTTTGGTTAAACATGAGAAAACAGAGGCACTCATGGAAGGCAAAACTGAAATAGGCAGGATTGCACTGACAGTTTTCCATGGGAGAGCCTGGAAGTGCAGAGTTAGGTGCAGCTGTGCTGGCATGAGAACAACAGCAGGATCTGTAGTATTAAAAATTCCTCACTGTTGCTTTCCATTATCCATTTCATCTGAGCTGGAAGTGACTGTAGAGGCTGGTCTTGTCTCTTTGCTTTCTGCCTTGGTTGCACTCCTGTCCTGCCTCTCCTGTGGCACGAGCAGTCTGGACCTTAGACCCAGCTTCTCGAGCAGAAAATTTCAGTTTGGGCCTCCAAAAGTCTCATTTAAGCATTTTAAGTAGGAATGATTTAAATCTGGGGTGCTAAGCCTGGATAAAATTTTTCTAAGGTAAGTGGGATTAGAATAAATCTCAAACTGGGTTTGTGCTCAACCTTTATGAGGAGGAAATATTATCTTTCTTTTATTAGACATGATAGTATGAATTTATTTTAATTTTTGCTGCTATCAAAGTGTAAATGTCTCACTGACTCACACTCCTGTCATGCCCTGAGTGCTCTCTGTGTAGATGATTTCTGTCCAACACTGCTCCATCTTCTTCTCCGGTTTGTGAAACATTTTTAACCTTGTTGGTTTTTAATCTAAATTTTGGTGAATTCTTGAGTTCTATGAAGCTCTTTGGGTTTTGCAATATTTGTAATCACTCCTAACTGTATTTTGGAATGATTGGTGAGGTTCATCCAAGCTTAGTTTACTTGTAGTGTGATTCATGAAGATGCTGGGCTGAGTTCTACCACTTATTTATCGACATCTGCAGTGGGCTGCTCCTCAGAGCAGACACTGTTTTTTCTAACCAGCTGTCCAGGGGCTGTTAACCTGACAAAAATGTTATTTCTGAAAAGCCAGTGCTAAGTGTGCAAGTAAACTTTCCTCCTTTAGCAGCAGCTCCAGATTAGTCATCATTTAAGATGTCAGTATGATCCCATGGATGTCATTTCTATGGTTGTCACTAACTGAACCCAGGAGTATTACAGAGGCAAAAATTAACGTGCTCTTCTGAGGAGCCAAGTATTTTCCAATGTTTCCTCCTATTTCACTGACTTCTTTTAAGAGATGTAAATACCACAGTGTTGTCTGAATAGATATTATGATTGCAATGATACCTGCTTAATTTCAGCTCAGGAGAATGATCCAGGACTGTCTTTAACTTCTCAGAACAGAGAAGCCCAAACTGACAAATGCTTAAATCATACCCTTCATTTGTTCCTATTGTCTTCAAGATCCTCAGGGTTTTCATTCATGTTTTTCACAACTTGTATTTTAACTTTCTGGGACTGTTTAGCAGCTGTAAAAAACATTTGAAAATGATACCCTTGACACATGCCTTTTCTTCTTTTTTTTCTCTTTTTCAGGAAGTATTTTGGAGAAAAGATAGGACTTTATTTTGCATGGCTGGGTTTATACACAGAATTCCTCATTCCATCTTCAGTAGTTGGGATTATTGTATTTCTATATGGATGTATAACCATTGAAAGTGACATTCCTAGGTAAGCTTATCTGTGATTCATGATTTGTTACTTCAAAATTATAAGACTGTGTTTTTCTTATTAATCCATAGTAAGAATAACTGGTTTTAGCTTGTCTGAAGAGCAGTGATGTATCATTACCAACCCTGAGAGCATTACAAACACAAAGGCATTGAACAGGTATTTGAAGGGCATGCATTTATTTGACTCAATAATCAGGAGGTCAGTGTCTCACCTCCTGAAACAGAAATGTGTGGTGAGTCCACTGTATTGAGTTTGTTTTCTAAGATATTAATTTGATTTTTATGAGTGCACATAGTTCACTGCTCAATCAGAAAGTCATGATGTAAAACTCGCTGAAATTAATGCAAACTGTCCATGACTCTTGTGACACTTTATTCTCAGTAAAATCAGACCATTTGTACAAGTAATATGAACAATAGCTACAAGATTTAGTAAATGCCAGCAGATCAAGGGATATGATTTTACCCCTTTGCCCTGCTCTGCTGAGAACCCCTTGCAGGGCTGCATCCAGCCCTGGGCCCAGCACAGGAAGGACAGGGAGCTGCTGCAGCCAGGCCAGAGCAGGGACACCAAGGGCATCAGAGGGATGGAGCAGCTCTGCTGGGAGGAAAGGCTGAGGGAACAATTGGGATTGTTCAGCCTGGGGAAGAGAAGGCTTTGGGGTGACCTCACTGTGGCCTTGCAGTGCCTGAAGGGAACCCATAAGAATGACGGAGAGAAACACTTGACAAGGGCCTGGAGTGACAGGACAAGGGGCAATGGCTTCACACAGACAGAGAGTGGGTTTAGATTGGATATTGGGAAGAAATTGTTCCCTGTGAGGGTGGTGAGGCCCTGGCACATGTTGCCCGGAGCAGCTGTGGCTGCCCCATCTCTGGAAGTGTTCCAGGTCAGGCTGGATGGGGCTCTAAGCAACCTGGGCTAGTGGAAATTGTCCCTGCCCATGGCAGGGTGTTGGAACTGGATGATCTTTGAGGTCCCTTCCAATTCCACCCATTCTATGATTCTATATTGGGTCTTCACAGTATTCCCCTTCTAGACACAAAACAATGTTGAGATTTTGTATCCTGAGGGGAATATACTACACAAAAACTACCCAAGTGACACCATGATGTTGATGTCTGCTTCACAGTGAAAAAAATTTAAAAAATCCTCTGTGTTATCTATGGCTGACTTCTGATGGAGGCAGGATACTGCAGTACTTGTATGCTGATCACACTCATGACAGTCCCTGAACTGACAGCTTTTAAAATCAGTAGGACAAGGTTACTGATAGGTAAATGATGAATAGCACCACATCAGAGTCAGGGTCTGTTTTCTTAGCTTGATCTGAATAAATCTTGGCGCTTGTTGGGATGAAAGCTTCTGCTAACATTTTAACTCCAGTGAGATTTATGGCTGAGATGTATCTGCAGCACCCTCTGCTGCCTTTTGAAATAGTGAATTACTGTAAAAGCATGAGAGCTGGAAACAGCTGCATGTTTTTCAAACAATATAATATAAACATATTAATAATAGAGCTTGAATAGTCCTTTTTTCATTTAAAATTGTAAGGAAAAACCTATTTCAGGATGGTCCGTATAGGAACAATCATAATCACGTCACTGAAACAATGTGGCAACTCAGCTCATGATCCTGGCAAGGACATTTGAGCTTTGTAGTACTCAGTTCACCTAAGTGAGACTATGCATGTTCAGTGAAGAGCGGGGCTCTCATCACGGGGGGTAGGACAGAGGGGTCCCCCGGGAGAGGATTGCAACAGGCTTTCATATCCAAACCTTATGGAAAATACTGAAAGGATTCTCAGCCCTGATAAGAAGTGCTTGGCCTGTTCAAGTGATACTGATAATGTTTTTCTCAAAGATTTTTAAAGACTGAATACATACGTAGCAAATAAGACCAAGAATCAAAATAACAACCTTACAGTAAAGATTTTAAAATCTCTAAAAAAACTCTTCTCCCATATTTTTGTGCCACCATATTAAAAAATGTATATTTTGACAAAACACTGAATTTCCTTTGTGACCCCTTTCTTTTCAGTGATTTATATCTGATCTGTATCAAATCACATAACTGACTGCAGAGATGCAAACTCCACTTTTGTGTTTGAATTTTGTTTTAAGTGTGGTGAACCTCAGTCTTCAATGATGTTGTCTTCCTTAATTCATTAATACAGTGCAGTGATCATTCTGGTTGACTGTTGTATCATTTTCCTGTTGGTAAGGTCCTTGTAAGGATTAAAAAAAAATTACTATCCATGGCAATAAACCTTGAAGAAACACACAGCTCCTGTTCTCTGCAAGTGCAGGCCACATATATTGCAGACAGCTTGTAATATTACTACTACACATCCATAGTTTCTGAGCTGGAATACTCAGAGGAACCTGTGCACTTGTCTGTCACAGCAAAGAGATGTGTGACCAGCGCAATGCCTTCACCATGTGCCCCCTGTGTGACAAGTTCTGTGATTACTGGAACCTCAGCTCTGCCTGTGCCACTGCTCGAGCAAGTCACTTGTTTGACAACCCTGCCACAGTTTTCTTCTCCATCTTTATGGCTCTCTGGGGTGAGTATTGCTTTGTAAGTTAACAGTGCCTTTTGGACTCTTCACAGAATAACAAAAGGCTCTTTGAATTGAATGTGATCTCTATGGCTTTTGGAAGCTGGGCCAGTGAGATCTGTCTGGGTGGAGACTGGGGAAAGCAGTATCACTGTCAGCAGCAAGTTCTGGAATAAATGGAGTTGTGTAGCTCAGGGAAGGAAAAATGTTCTTTCTTCCTTTACTGCCATGTTTAAAATCATAGAGTCATCAAGTCTGGAAAAGATCTATAAGTTCAAGACCAGCCTTTGACTGATCTCTACCTTGTCAACTAAACCAGAGCACTGAGTGCCATGTTCAGTTACTTATTAAACATCTCCAGGGATGGTGACTCCTCCACCTCCCTGGGCAGCCCCTTCTAATGCCAATGGGAAGAAATTCTTCCTGATGTCCAACCTGAACCTCCCCTGGAACAACTAGAGGCCATTTTTCCATGAAGGGAATTGTGCCTTTAATGGCACTTCTAAACTTTGCCATCCATTTGCAAATTTTTTTTTCATTTTTCATCTACATGTCACACCCTTTTAACAACTTCTGCCAGAAGGGCAGAATGTATTTGGGGCCAGAATGTATTTGAGGATTGGTATGGTGCAGACAGCTGAAAGAGTCTAATTTAAGCACAGTCCCACTTCCTTGTGGGACAACTCAGTCACATAATTTTATCAAAACTTTATGGGATTCCAAGAGCAATGGGACTATTATAATTTTAATTGTAATATATTTTAGCATATCCCATTTAAACAAACTTGCTTTTCTTTAATGGCAAATATCCCTGTCTCCATGAGGATATCAAAACACTTCATAAACATAAATGAATGCATTGTAGTATTACTTTTATTGTTTCTGGCCTTACTTCTGCCCTGAAAAGTGTGTGTACTGTGCTTGCATGAATTATTGCTGGTGTTATGCTCTCCTTTACTCTAGAGTTTGTTTATTATGAAAGTTAAATGTGTTATTGCTACTGTAAAATGATTTTTTATTTCCCTATTCATTGTTCCCAAAATGAAATTATCATCCTTAATATGAAACTGAGCAAATGTTATTGTGTTATAGCCATCCCTCAGCAACCAGTGTGTTATTTGCAAGCCTATTAAGATTTTACAGCTTGTTTTAGAAAGGATTGATTGGTGGGTTGGCATTGGGTGAGGACAGCATAAAGTTTTTAAGAAGCTTGCAGACAGAACACATCATGGAAGCAAGAAGCATTTGTTTACTAGTTCCTGGAAGCCATAGAGCAAACATTACAGTATATGTGAGAATTATGGGAATTATTTCTATGAGAAATAGAAAAAAGAGGATGAATATATAGGCTCTCAGAATAATTTATTTTACTACTTCAGATTACAGGGTAGACTGGCAGATTAAGTGTCACTTCCTGCTCTGAAGCTTAAGATAAATAAAATATCATTTTCCAACAGAGAAACTTTACTGTAAATTGGCATCCATGCAAATGACAATTGCCACCGAACCTCATCCAGAACAATTGTATTTTAGTATCAGCAATGCAGTGTGCAAAAGAAAATGTTGATATATCCTTCCACTAAGACAAATTAGTAGAATCTGCTATGGAAGAGAACAGGACAAAAAGTTCCATATGCATTGCTTTTAAAAAAAGGCATGTAAGAATAAAAAAAATCTTTCAGAGTGGTAGCCCTCCTCCAAAAAATGTTTCCTGCAGATTGGAAAAGTCTGTTCTTCTCTAACCCGTGATAACTGAGCTTGTCAGTTCAAGAAAATGCAGCCGGCATACACAAAGAGCAGCAAAGCGAAATAATAGAGCCTTTACTAATTCTGCCCAGCTTGCCTATGAAGTATTAGATTACACCAAATTTTGCTGCCCTACTATTAGAGACTGTGCTGGTTAAATCTAGAGCTCAATCTGTTGAATGGCAGAGCTCACTCATGCACTTACTCCAGCTGTATATTTGAAAGAGCAAACTATGGTGATCTGGGTTGGCTTCATTTCATGAGGGCATTGGGCACAGGAACTCTTTCGTCTTGCTTGTCTTCTCCATTCTTTAGAAAGCAGAAGGCTTCCTAAGGTTAATATCTCAAAAGGAACCATGCTTTTAGTAGGTGATCCTGATTCCTTGTGAAGTGTCTTTGTGATTCCAGCAGTCTTTCTGAAACTGTCCATATTTACAGTAATGCCTGGCTGACTGGGCTTGATTTCACTGGTGTCCTGGTGCTCAGTTTCAGTGTCAGATGCCTTTATTTATAAGTTTTACAGAATCACAGAATGGTTTGGGTTGGAAGGAACCTTGAAGATCGGTCAGTTCCCCTGCCATGGGTCAGGACAACTTCCACTATCCCAGGTTGCTTAGAGCCACTTCCAGCGTAGCCTGGAACACTTCCAGGGATGGGGCAGCCACAGCTGCTCTGGGCAACCTGTGCCAGGGCCTCACCATCCTCATGGGGAAGAATTTCTTCCTAATATCCAAGCCAAACCTGTTCTGTGTCAGTTTAATTTTTCTGCTGGTGTAAGTCAGTGCATACGTGCTGATTTCAGATTAGCTGTTGCATCAAGCCAAGTACGTTCTTACAGAGCTAAATGTGGAACTGAGTTTTTTGTGTAACAGGAAAGAATGGAATGAGTAATAGCACCCTATAAAATAACCAAATGTTTTTGTATTTAGGATATCTAAAAACCCTTGAGTTTTCAAACCATGCTAAGTATAGCTTTTATATGTTCTCTCTTCTGTAAGGGAGGAACACAGATAGCAACTTAGTTGCTTAATGTCTGGATTTGCTTTCGGTGTGCTGCCGAAATAATGTTATTTATTTCTTATATGATGGGATGATATCTGTGAAGAAAATATTTGCATCTAACTGTTGGGATAGATTATAACCTGTAAGAGCAAGGTTATTTTCACAGAGTTCCCACTTTTCTCAGTGTTATCTGACAGTGTAGATGCAGTCAAGGGAAGCTGCTCTTATTCTCCACTGTTGTCTGCCTTGTGGGGCTATCTACAAGATGTTCAAAGTGATGTAAACACTGCTGTGATCTAACAGTGTTTTTACAATACCTTTTTCATGCACTGAAAGTGAGGTGAAGCATAAGAAAATGGAAACAGTGCCCACAGCTGTTCATAGGTATAGCTTTTATTGGTAGAGTTTAGGTGGTTTTAGTTGGCATCAACTGGTTTAGTATTGACATTGTTATCTGAAAATACGTGTCCACAACCCAAGATTTATATGTGCTATTTCTAATAAATCCGTAAGTCCATAAATTATGAGCAACTAGGAAAAGGGCTATACTGAGGAAACAGCAATTATGAGAGGACAGCCAGGAGACTGTAAATATGAGACAACAGTAAAACATCTGTTCCTTCTTATTAGTAAAAAAAGGAGAAGCAGGAGGTTGAACCAGGGGCCATTCCTTTAGAATGTCTGTGAAGGACAAAAGAATTTAACTACACCATTGGTAATATGTTTAAAAATATCTTTTTCTACAACATTCTGGGGATCCTAGTTTTTTCAGTAGCAGGCTAAACCTACCTCAGAACGCTTCATGATGAATTAAGAGAGATTATGTCTTCCATGGATATCTGCAGTTATGGACTCAGTTCCATTCCCTGACAAGAACAGTGGTTCTGGACAACTCATGTTCCATCTTTCTGTATTTTGTTTTTAAAAGACAGTAATTATTGTTTGCATGTATTGCTTGAATTCTTTCTTTAAAATTGGGCCTGAGGCTGCTTCTTGGTGCTTAATTTTAAGGGGTCTAGCATAATGTGATTCAAATATTAGTTGAAGCTTATAAGTAACACAAATGTTTGCCACAAGGCTTTGGATTTATTGTTTTTAAAATTGTTTAATTTCTTTTAAAGCTACCATGTTCCTTGAACAATGGAAGCGTTTGCAGATGAGATTGAGTTACTTCTGGGATCTAACTGGACTGGAAGAAGAAGAAGTAAGTCTCGTCTCCCTGGACTAATTTACTGTGTTAATTATTCTATACATGCATATTATATAACTATTGATGTATAGATTTCTTATGAGTGTTCTCCAGCCCAGTGGAGTTTGTAGCTGTGTTTAGATAAGGACTGTAACTGATACAATTTTGAGTATCAATGTTTATTTAGGAAATCCTCACCTATATCTTACTGTTCAGCACTCTGAAGTTAATAATGAATGTTGAAAAGGATTATAAGGTAAGTGCAGATCATGTTTTGCTGAGAATGCCCATATGGCATTGTATAGTGTGAAGTAGCACAATGACACTGAATAAATACTGTTGCAGCAGCCCTCTCTTTAGAGTGCAGAAATGAGAGTTTATCACAGCTTGTTTATCACAGCATGAAAAGGGCCCTGGTTTATTCCTCTTCACAATTCAGCCATCTGACTCCAACTATTCACTACAGCAAGCTCTCAGTGCAGGTTTCCCTTGCAGACTGCAGGTATTTCCTGCTTGACTATGACTGCAGGTATTGCCTTGCAGCCTGACTGCAGGCTTTTACCTAGAAAAAGCCTAGTTTTATCTAGTTAGAATCTTGCAGGTTCTAACAGCAGGCTCCATCTGCAGACCCCGAATCCATCTGCAGACCCTGATCTCAGCAGATCCTTCACAGCAGCAGTTCCGTCTGATGTTTGGCCAGTCCTCCTAAATTGTTCCTTCTTCCTCAGCATCCTTTCTTCAAGCTCCTCCCCTGCACAGCCAACCCACCCCTTTAATCACACTTTATTGGATATCACTGTGACTCATCAGGAGGGAGGACACTTGTAATCCCTTCTCCTAACAAAATATCTTGTCATGTTACTTCATTATGTGTAACAAGAATTCTTTGTGATGATGTCGTACTGTATTAGGAATGGCAAAGGGACAAAACAGATTCTCTCACTTTGGTTGCAAAAGAGAGCAAGTTTTATTCTTCCAGATCTTCTTTTTAAAACAGTTATGAGAAGGTCCAAGAAGGTAAACCTCTTATTGGTCATGAAACTAACACATCACCACCATTGGACAGTTAGGAACACCACCCCTTGACCATTTCTTGCAAGTAAACAACAAGGTGACAATACCAGCAAAGGTTGTTTTCCTTCTCTAAGGACTGTTTGGGTTCCTCCTTATGATTTCTCAGTCCAGAGTGAGAAAGCTGTGCTACTTAATTTCACACAGGCTCAGGCTAATGCCTGAAGCCTAAAAATCTGTTTGACCATTGTCAGTTCCCACATGATGATGACAGCCACAGGTCACAGTACCATCAGCAATTTTTGCATCCAGGTCTGGGTGACATCTGTGATGCCTTAGATACATCATCCCAAGCTCTAGATGCTCACCAACAGAGCTGTTTCAAAACAATAAATGGTGTCAGTTTCTTCAGAAAGAGCTTTCCAATGAGCAATGGGGTCTCCAGCCATGCCTGAATTGACTGAAAATGAGATGTACTTGTTCATTGGTACTTAAAATGCCCCTAAATTTGTGCTTAGTTCTGTCCTTTGGTTTGTTCTCATGACTGTCTCTCATCCAAGGATTCATTTCTAACCCTGACTAAAGAGAGTGCAGTTACTAAAATCATAAATAAATATCATTCTAAGAACAGGTAGACTTTGGACTTGCCTCTGGCAGTAGATGCTGAGATGTCTCTAGAACAGGGTCATACTCAGTAATTCAGAACCATCTTGGTTTTCTGAGAGGATTTGAATCCATTTCTTCCCTTCATGTTCCAGCATAGTTCTCTAAATAACAGGCCACCTACAAGTCTTTAGCCCTACTAGCTGAGCTCAGCTCAAACAGGAGAGTACAAATACCATAGGGGAAAAGTAAGCTGTCATGGACTGCATGATATAGGATGGTAGTGATGTTATTCTTCTATTTCCTATTTCCCAGATCAAAATATTTGGATATAACCTTGAGAACAGACAGCAGGCTCCAGCATTGCTCTTCTTCCATCACTATCTTGTAATGCAGAAATATTCCTTCACTCGTGACTTGGCAACAACCTCCTCTTTTTTCTCTTTCTCAGCTTTTTCATGACTCTCTCCACTGTTAGGATATGGATGATGCTTACAGTACAACCCAGTACTCCCAGTCTGTGAATTGTGATGCAAACCCAGTGCACCACCACATCAGAAACTACTGCTTGTCCCACATGGGATGTCAAGCTGCTCCCTGTCAGAGATGTACCAACTGCAGGGTAAACTGAGAGGCTGGAGAACAAACTCTGGGCTCTGTGGCATATTTGATGAACCACCATATTTTGATGATTCTCTGAAGGCCTCCCATGCCTCCCTCCATCAGGAGGACACGTGGTGGATGAAGGGGAGTGGAAATGGGTCCCTACTTGGGGAGGTAATACAAATTCCTCCTGACCCCCATCATCTATCTACCCAGGTGCCACTTCAGAACAGGCATGAGGTCCTGGATCTAGAGTGTCAGCCAGATGATGTAGAAGAAAATGGTCAGCACAGTGGGCCTCCCAATTGTGCTTCATATGTCTGATGGATCACCACCTCTGACATTAGAAAGAAAAGAAGGGTAGTTGTAGTGGGTGACTCCCTTCTGGGGGAAACAAAGGACCCTGTATGTCAACTGGACCCAGCCTACAGGGAGGTCTATTGCTTCCCTGGGGCCCAGGGATGAGAGACTTCCTGGGCTGATTCAGCCCTCTGATTATTACTCACTGCTGATACTCCAGGTTGGCAGTGATGACTTTGAAAAGAGGAGTGCCAGGGCAATTAAAAGGGACTTTAGGGTACCAGGTCAAGTCGTTGGTAGAGCAGGAGCACAAGTAGTCTTTTCCTCAGTCCCTTTGATGGCAGATACAAATGATGGAAGGAACAGGAGAGCTCCCATTATCAACCAGTGGCTCAAGGGTTGGTGTCATCAGCAGAATTTTGGGTTTTTTGATCATGGGGTAACTTTTATGGCACCTGGCCTGCTAAAACTGGATGGGCTCCATCTCTCTGTTAAGGGCAGAAGGATTTTAGCTCATGAACTGGCAGAACTTATTGAGAGGGCATTAAACTAGGTTTGAAGGGGGAAGGGGATGCAGCTGGGCTCTCTGAAAGGAGGCCCAAGGGTGGTAAGCCTGAGTTAGGGGTGAGATCAGCAGCCCAGCTGAGGTGCATGTATACTAATGCACACAGCATGGGTACAAGAAGAGCTGGAAGCCATGGTGCAAGAGCAAAGCTAGGATGTAGTCACCATCACAAAAGTGTGGTGGGATGATTCACATAGCTGGAGCTCTGCACTGAATGGCTACAAGCTCTTCAGAAGAGACAGGAAAGGGAGAAGAGGGGGAGGGGTGGTCCTTTATATTAGGGAAGTTTTTGACACCATGGGTATTGAAATTAATGACGATGAAGTTGAGTACCTATGGGTAAGGATTAAGGGGAAGATGTCAACAAGGCTGACATCCTCCTGGGAGTCTGTTATCCACCCAACTAGGAAGAAAAGGTGGACAAATTATTCTATAAGCAGCTGGAGAACGTTTCAGGATCACCAGCCCTTGTTCTTGTAGGTGATTTTAACCTACCAGACATCTGCTGGGAACTTCACACAGCAGAAAAGAGGCAGTCCAGGAAGTTCTTAACAGTGTGTGGAGGACAACTTTTTGTCACAGCTGGTTAGTGAGCCCACCAGGGGAGGGACTACATTAGACTACTTGTTTGCAAATAGAGATGGGCTGGTGGGAGATGTGGTGGTTGGAGACTGACTGGGGCATAGTGATCATGAAATGATAGAGTTCTTGATATTTGGTGAAATCAGGAGGAACATCAATAAGAATTTTACATTAGACTTCTGGAGGGCAGACTTTGGCCTATTTAGGAGACCTTTTCAGAGAGTTCCTTGGGAAGCAGCCCTTAAAAACAAAGGTGTCCAGGAAAGGTGGGTGTGCTTCAAAACAGAGATCTTGAGGGCACAGGAACAGACAGTCCTTGTGTGCCAAAAGGTGAGTTGATGAGGCAAACGCCCAGCTTGGATGGGCAACGAGGTTTTGAAGGAACTTGGGAATAAAAAGAGGATGTATCATCTTCGGAAGGAGAGTCAGGTTTTTCAGGAGGTATTTAAGGGGGTTGCTAGGACATGTAGGAAAAAAATTAGGGAGGCTGAAGCTCAGTTCAAACTTAATTTGACAACTTTAGTAAAAGATAATAAAAATGTTTTTACAAATATATTAATGGCAAAAGGAAGGGGAAGAGTAACCTTTGTTCTCTACTGGATGCGGGAGGGAACTTAGTAACTGCAGATGAGGAGAAGGCATTAATGCCTTCTTAATGCCTTCTTTGCTTCTGTCTTTAGTGGGAAGGTGGCTTGTCCTCAGGACAACTGTCCTCCTGGGTTGGTAGAGGGTGTCAGGGAGCAGGATGACCCCCTGTTATCCAGGAGGAGGCAGTCAGAGAACTGCAGAGCCTCTTGGATGTTCATCCATCTATGGGCCCAGATAGGATCCATCCCAGGGTGATGAGGGAGCTGCCAGATGAGCTTGCAAAGCCGCTCTCCATCATTTACCACAATCCTGGCTCACTGGTGAGGTTCCAGATGTCTGGAAGCTGGGCAATGTGACACCCATTCACAAAAAGGGTGGGAAGGAGGATCCTGGTAATTATAGGCCAGTCAGCCTGACCTCAGTACCTGGTAATAGAGCAGCTTATACTGAGTGTCATCATGCAGCACTTACAGGATGGCCAGGGGATCAGACCCAGCCAGCATAGGTTTAGGAGAGGTAGGTCATGTTTGACCAACTTGGTCTCCTTTTAGAGACCTCTCAGACCAGGTGACTGCCTGGTGGATGCTGGAAAGGCTGTGGATGTTGTCTAGTTGGCCTGCAGCAAGGCCTCTGACACTATCTCCCACAGCACACTCCTGGAAAAGCTGGCAGGCCTTGGCTTGGACAGGAGCACTCTGCTCGGTTAAGAAATGGCTGGATGGTCAGGCCCAGGGAGTGGTGGTGAATGGAGTTGCATCCAGCT